CAGACAACAGTTTCAAGCTTAAAGAGAGTAGATTTAGGTTAGATATAAGGAAAAATCTTCTACACTGAGAGAGGTGAGGTGTTGGAACAGGTTGCCCAGAACTGGGGGTCCCTCATCCCTGGAGATTTTCAAGGTGAGGCTGGATCAGGCCCTGGGCAAACTGATCCAGCTGTGGATTTCCCTGTTAATTGCAGAGGAGTGGAACTAGATGGCCTTAAGAAATCCCTTCCAAATCTAAGGATACTGTGATTCTATAATTCTGTGACTGCAAGTGCACACTGATGTCTCATGTTCAGCTTTTTGTCCACCAGAACTCCCAAATTCTTCCCTGCTGGGCTGTTCACTGGGAGGTCTTCTCTCAGTTTGTATAGCTCACAGCATAGTGGTGTTGTGTATCTCTGTTGACACAAATTGGTCCTGAACCTTTAAAAAGATGACCCTGCTCCCATCTTTTACTTCCCAGTGTTTCAGCACATTTATGTGGGGATCATACTTCATGGGAAAGTAGAAGCCATTAGCTGTCTGGAAGCAACTTTCTGGCTGAAGAGAAAGAGTCATCTACCACTGTCAGCCTAAATAGCAAGGAATAGCAGAAGAGTGGCATGAAGTCCAAATACTGAGACAAGATTGCATGAGGTTTTTGCACACCAAGGGACACATTGCCCTCTTGTTGGAGAGAACTCTCAGAAGAAGAATCCCTGCAAAAAGACAGTGAGGAAGAAGGTTTGGGGTTCAGCAGAGACACAAATAAATAGTGCTGTGCAACACTGAGATACTACCAGTTGATAGTACCAACTGTGCCTTTTGTCTATGATAAATAACTTTCAGGCAAATGAAAACATAGACATTTGCGCGTTGAAAAAATGTATCATAGAGGTTTCTGTTGTCAGGAAGGAGGTGAGAAGATAATATTCACAGCTCATGATATGTTGAAGTGTTTGATTTGATTCAGATTACTTGTTGCTCAGGCAACACACCAGTTTGAGTTTCTGTGGGAACTTTATAGTTTGAGGAAGACAAACATTAGGAAGCGTAAAGAAAAAAGATGGTCAAGGAATCAGGTCAGCTGGAATGAAATAAGAATAACTGGAGATACAGACATTGAGTGGAAGTTTTCTGTGCAGCACAAGCCTTCTTTATGTGAAAATTCAATGAAAAAGGAGTGCTTATCTTCACACTTTCCCTTGGAAGACATGAAGTACCCAGATAAAAAATTTCTTAACTATCACAGTAGGAGAAAATATGTGTACTGAAGGTGTTGGCTGCATTTATGGAGCTTGTAACACTGCATGTGATACTAGTTAATCAGCAATTGACAAACATACAAAGCCTATATGCTATGCAGTGAAAGACTGACAAACACTGTTTAGTAGTCAAAACAATTGTCTCTATGCAAAGAAAAAAAAAAAGAACTGTGTTAATATGAGGAGCATTAGCTGCCAAATGTAAATCAGGTTTCAAATATGATTTAACAGCAGAGTTGTTGGTATCTCTATCTTTCTAGGATAGACACAGCTTCAAGAGATGATGCTTATCTGCGTAAGGAATCTGCATCTCCTGTGGCAAACTGGTCTAGAGGTTGCAGTGCTTCCTCAAGAAGATAAAGGATGGAAGATCAAGTTCTCTTCTCATCCTGGAGCTAGTTAGTGGGAACAATCCCCACTTTCTTTCTGAGTTTGTACTGCTCCAGGTTCGGGAATACAGGAGTCACAGGATCAGTGATCCCACAGACCCAAGAGTAAGCTTAACCTTGAATGGATTAAAATAAAAGGGGCTCCAGATCACTCTTCAAGCGCATATACATTTTTCATCAAACTATTTTGAAATGGAGGAAAATGGACAATGCCACATGCATGACAAAGAATCCCAGACCTATTAGTTCCCCCTTTCCTAAACTCTGTCAACCCTGTTTGCCACAACCGTTACAGTATGTGAGAAAAATAAAATTTGGGGACCAAATGCGTTTGTGAGAAAGGGTAGAAGCAGAATTTCTGTTCTTGATGTGAGAACAATGATGAAAGACACACAGTAGATATTTTTGTTTCCCATGACTAAATCATAGTGACATTGTGGGTAGCCTATACCTTTTCCATACAAGTAGCATTGAAATTACAAATGGTGATTCTTACATACTTATTAAAAGGCAGATTTCTCTTCACAGGATGTATCAGACAGTTTTTCTTATATGATCTTTCTCCTGCCTGTATTATTCAGTGGTTTATGGCCTGGTATAAAGACTTCCTACTGGGAGCTTACTGAAAACTGGGCAGTAGTCTGAAAACAAGCAGTGAATACTGTTGTGTTATTTTACATGGCTTAGCAATAATTTCCATGTGATTTCTTATCTCTCCAGTCTCTTGCACAACTTGTTCAACAGGTTCCTTCCCATTGAAATTTCTGAACTAGAATTAGCTAGGAATTGTCTGACAAACCTATTTTGCAGTACAAAACACAGCTTCTATGGAATATCTCAGTTACAATGAGTGTACTACGAAATTATTTATTTACCTGTTGTGCTGCAAGAAAAACCAGATTTCAAAAGTTAACGATTCCCCATCCAGTGTGTATAAAGTTTTTCAAGCACCTGTGCTACAGCACTGGGTACAGGGCTCCTCAGGCATTCACTATCATCACCCAGACTCCAAATGATTTGGGTGAACCTGGAAGACTTTTCATCTTAATTCAGATTAAAATGCTTCCCAAAAGTTTCCTTTCTTTGATGAAGCACTTCAGTCTGGAAGGGAGCAGACTGTCTTGAAGGTGTGCACTTTGAAATATTTTGAAGCCATCCATATCAGGTAGAAATAGGCAAGGCTCTGTCAGATTACAGTTGCTGTGATCTTCTAAATCAGATTTACCATCTACCTCTATCTGTTTTCTCACATTGTAAATCAAAGCAGTGCTGTTCAAAGTTCAATAAACTGGAAGGGAGATGTGTGATTTTCTTAGTTTTTACAGCAGCATGACTGCAGAGTCTTTTGGGATTTCATTTTCAGGGCATCGAGAGCAACTTCTGTGATTGCTCACAATTGTTCCCCAGTTGGAGAATATTGCTAACATTTTTATTTTGATAGATCAGTAGAATAAATCATGAGAAACCATGTGTTCCTAATAAAAATGGTATCATCCACTGTCAAAAAAATCCATTTTGTTACCCTGAGTGTCCATGCACTTCTAATGCTACTATAATCTGATGAACTTCTAGCAGGAACACAGCCAATATCTAATGATACTTTTACTCTGCTGCCAAGGCTGAAAGAAGCAGACATTGTCTCTCACACAGGGGTGTAATAATCACAGGCATCATGAGAGCAACAGCCTCTTCTGATTTCATGAACTGTCTTCAAGCCTGAAAGGAATGTGAGTGGATTCAGTAGCATAGAGGACAGATGACCTATGGCTAATAACAACAATCCGATAACATATAATCCGGATAATCCAATAATGCAATAATCTGACAGTAGAGATTAATCATCTGTAATAGTCAGTGAGTAATGTTCTGTAGAAAAGTTCTGTAACTACAGACCTCTTGGGACATGAGAGCTCAGGATTTCAGAGCATCCAAACCTTATGTCTGGGTAGCAATAGAAACTCTCTGGAATCTCATGCCTTGATTTACTTGTCTCTCAATTTCCAACTAATAATCTTCCCCTAGATAGAAAAAGAGTCATACAGGTATATTGTAGAGCCTTTTCTCCCACATAAACAGCATAAATGCAATGCTTTGGCTAATAGATCTTAAAGGACAGGAAGGGAGGATGAGGGGTTATATTCTAACTCTGTGTGACAGTGCACCTGGAATGGGGTTTGAAAATCCTGAGAAGACTGAGAAAGGCACATAGTGGGATAAAAACATTAGCTGAGGGCTACAGTCCAGTCTGCTTCATCTCAGTTCCTGGAAAGACTGCAATGAACCCATCTGGAAGACATTTCCAGGTATGTATGTCTGCGAACTACGAGATGACTTCCTACCTGGACGATTCCAGCATTTTGTTGTAGCTGCTGCATTCCATGTATTATTATATGGTTGGCTAGAATAACTACATGAAATCTGAGTGCTTACATTCCCTATGTTTTTCTTATTTATTTGCAGAGATGCATGGGGTCTTATTTTAGGAAATAATGAATTTAGTTTAAATTTTCCATTGCTGCCATATGAGCAAATTCTAACAAGAAAAAAAAAAAACACAGGAAATATTGTTTTTACTGTGAAATAACTTTTTACTGTACTTCGTACTGTGACTATGGTTACATCACTTGACATTTAGCTCAGTTCCCTCTTTGCTCTATAACTGTGTCACCATATTTCCCTTACGTCACAGAGCTATTATGAGCATGAACATATCGATTTCTGAAGTACATCATTGGAGCAATGACATCTCAACAGCCACTATTTTCCTCTCACTGAATTTATTTCAGGTCACCTCATAGTTACCAGTGTAGTATCAGAAATTATGAACAGAAAAGTATCTTATACCTTTCAGATCTCCAAAATTTGAAGGGTTCAGTTCAGTGTTTCTACCCCCATCCTGTTCTCAGGATCCTCTATTCTTTGCTTATAAAATGCAGTATTTTTTCAGGTGATAGTCACATCTATCAACGCACTCAATAGATCTTCAGTATCAATCACAATTAAAGACACCCATGGCAGCTAGAGCTTTTGTTGCTCACCTAATACTGACAAGCGACTGTGCAATTAATCAACTGCCATTTATGCCATGGATACTTATTTGGATATTCCCTGGCTGTTGTATTTCGTAGTCTGGGCCATTTTTACTACTTCTAAATGAAAATGAGATTTGCTCAAACAATCTCTACTGTCACATGAATGATTTTTCAATGGCTATAGCTTTTTCTTACAGCTATTATAAGAGGCAAAAGCACAAATCAGTGAATTTAATAACGAAAATGCAATCCAGTCACCCAGAGCTGCAATATCACAATTCAACGAGACAGAAACAAAAATTCAGTATGGTTATATAGAAAAAATACAATGCTGAAAATTTTTGCTACTTTAATGTTTAGAAGCAAAAAAAGTATGACTTATAAAGACTTTGATTGAGATATTTTATGATTAACAGCAAAATAAATTTATTTAATCTTTTTATATGTACACAGGTAATAATAATAATAATAATGGTAATAATAAATATTAGCATGTGGAAGTTGTGTGGTTAGTAAAACATTTGTGGAAAACCTCGAAAATGCTGTCCAGTTGCTTATGCATGTGGTTGGTAATGTTGTTCAATAAGTTACTGATAGAGGAGAGTACGGAAAACCAAGGAATTGACTGTAAGTAATACATACATACATAAGTAAGTAATACATATCTTCAATTAACATCATTAGCATAACATTCCATAATATAATGTAAAAGCCTGTAAACCTACACAGTCTCTCTAGCGTTCATATAGGTGGAATTCTTTCACGCATAGTTTTATGCCAATGCCATGTGCTCTGCATAACAACTTGAGTTTTGTTTGAAGTTTTAGACCAAAGGGTAAGTGATTACTAGAACTATAACCGACTTTAGGAAACTGCAATATCTGACAGTCATCTGAGAGACCTGTTCTCAAAGAGCAGAAATAAACTCCACAGGCAAATGCCACATATAACCTCCACCACCCGTTGGTCATGGCTAATAACCTGCCTATCATAACAGAGGACAAAAGGCCTTCATACAATAGAGCAGCTAGGCTCTGGAGCTTTCCCAGGAAGCTTCACACAGTGTTGCTTAGACCGACTTGTGAGAAAGGGGAGCAGTTTTAGATTACACTAAACATTACCATGCTGTCAGGCCTGAAGAGCCCAATTATGAATCTGCTCTACAAACACAGCTCCTGTTGACTTCAGCAGGAGCTCAGTGGGGGACAGCCTCAGACAAAATAGAAGGGCTCATTGGTATTAAAAGTGATCCCACTTTACTACTTTGCTGGATTCTCTCTTTTCATCCTTAGCCTGCATTGCTTTGTACTTCACAGGATATTTTCACTGGAGGATTTTGGTGCAAGCAGAGCTGTCTTGCTCATTATCCAGTGCCAATCCATTTATCTGTGAAATATTTGTAAACAGAGATGCTTTTTAGGATGAAAGGATTTTAGTTTCAATTGCAGTGGATTGGATGGTTGTAAGTAATTGCTGTTACAGAGAATGTCCCCTTTCAATCAGTGGATCCAACATTTTGAAGTTAGTGTCACTGTTGCAACCTCTTCTCTTTCTTCATCTCACCTTTTCACTACATCCACCTTTTTTCCACAACCCTCCTACATCCAGATCCCTCCTGCCAAATACTCACCTATCCTCCCACTACTTCCTTTCAGCTTTGGGGTCCCCAAATCCCACTGGAAAATCTTGGCAGCTTGGATTCTCCTGTCTACATCACTTCATGTCTAACGGTAGAAAGTTTTATCTCAGAAAACCAAATTTTATGCTGGGAGTAAGAACAAAGGAAAAAATTATGTGCTTAAGTACACTCATCTGATCACTAAAACTGGGAACACATGTTAACTAGGAGAGGGTAGGAGAAAAATGCTCCATTTGCTCTTGCAAAAAGTCTAGTCTGTCCATGTCTCAGCCACACTGTGACAAGCAGGTTTCATTTTCTACCTCCAGCTGCCACCAGCTGACGCTGCAGAATACTTATCCTGATGCCACTGTTGTTTTTCCATTGTTCCCTGAGGTGCAAATACCAGTCTATTTCTGAATGGGCACATAGCCAAAAATTTAAGGTCTTTGAAACGGGGACCTGTGAATGTGATGTACTATTCTTATTCCAGACCTTTGTTCAAGTAACAAAATATTTAACTCCCTGTTGCCTCACATGTGCAGCTGTCTGTTGAAGAATCCCTGAATCTAAATAAAAAGTGGAAGGGAAAGAAATGGCTTTAAACAGGAAGAGAGTAGATTTAGACTAGATATTAGGAAGAAATTCACTACTGTGAGGGTGGTGAGACATTGGAACAGGTTACCCAGAGAGGGTGTGGATGCTCCCATGCTGAAGGCATTCAAGGCCAGGCTGGATGGGGCTTTGAGCAACCTGGTCTGGAGGGAAGTGTACCTGCCTATTGCAGGGGGGTTGGAACTACATGATCATAAAGAGCCCTTCCCACATAAACCATTTTATGATTCTATGAAAACACAGTCATTAAATCAAGGAGTAACTAATAGTCTCTCTCTCTTTATTATGATACTATATCTCCCATTTTTCCTTTCAGTTAATGTCATGTGAAGGGCCATTTGAAGGAAGGATTTGAACGCTATGGTGGGAATGAAGAAAAATAGATTTAACATCACACCTGTTAAATACAAAATGTAAGACTGTAGTAAATCTTTGAAAGATTGGTTAATCTCATAAGACACTGTTTAAAACTGCATTTGAAAGGAAATATTCATTGCACATCCCATAAAAATAATATTGAGAATTATGAAAGTTATTAGTTTTGTCAATTTAGCACATAAAAGTCAAGAAAACATCAGAAATACATTTCTTCCATGTATAAAACTTTCAGCAAATTGGATTCAGGAATTCCGTAGGGATGCACCGGAAAACCAATGTTTTGTTCTAACTTGCTTAAAAAATGTCATTCGTAAAGATGCAGGCAACTACTTATGTAGAAATTATTAAAAAGAGAACTAGCTACAAAGCATCTGAGATGATCACCCCCATATATCTCTTTTTCAGACAGACAATTTGGAAGGTCTGACTTTCATCTTGCCTTTCCTCATTGCCTTATACAGGGTTATGTTCAAACTAGGGAAATTAGAAATCACCTCTAAATCAAAGAGTGTCTGAAATCTGTCCACAAATTGGTTCTCATTGTCCAGCCTAAACTTCATAGCCCACATAATGACAGTATCATTCTTGCACAAGTGGTCAAAAGTTAGTAGGAGCTCATCCAGGAAGGGATGGTGGTAAACTACATCAGCAGCCATAATGTAGTCAAAGTGACATGAAGCTCTGGGAAAGTTTTTTTCCAGATCAATTCCCCAGGACAACTCCTTGACACAGGGCTGGTGCTTGCATTTCAGTTTTGTATTTTGGAGAACATTGTGCTGAAGGTTTCCCAGCAGTTCTGGCAAATCAGTGGCAGTCACAAGTGCACCTGTGACAGGAAGAAAACAAAAACAATCTTTCAATATACTTCAAGACTTGAGTAAAAGCCCACTTGCAAAAGCCACTGCACAAGGAACCAATTTTAGCAAATTTTCCGTCTAGGGGAATAAAACACTGTTATTGCTCCCAATAGTTATTACTCATTGTACTTAAAATAAATATTTGGTAACTGGCAGCAGTTCTGCTGCACGGACTGCAATCTAAAGACAGCTGGGCTTGGGTGGGGATAAATCAAATACCATATCTTGATGTCATTTTCAATGAAAGCACAGTGAGAGATTGGGAATTGAAGAATAACAGTTACTAATTGCAGAAAATCAACACTAGATTTAGGAGTGGCCTCAGGTTCTTTCCTTTTAACATATCAACAAGCTTTCTCAGACTGCAGAAAGCTAAATTCTGTTCAAATACAGGGGTTACTGACTTGAATTACTCTTGAGGAAGAGCAGGCTGCCATGATAGAAAACAAGTTTCTGTAGCAGAAAAGTCAAGGATCAGTTGCTGAAAGAAAAGGCTGAACTCAAGTTTGAAGGAAGTGACTTGGCATCCAAGAGGTATTTATTTGATCAATGGAAGATGATGTGTTGGTCATGCCTGCGTCTGACTTTACCCTACTGCCACTGACATCCTCTTAGACAGTAATTTCTTATTTGTTGGTCCTCTGTTTAACATTGCTAATGGTAACAACATCCACAGGGACCGTCTTTATTGCATCTACACACCTTTGCGTTTACAGTTTTAGAGAGAGAAAAAAAACTACACAAATTTATAAGAAACCCTGTTGGAACTCACTCCTACTTTCTCTTAGAAAATGTCAAATAACTGTATTTTAGAAGTACTAACATACTTCCTTTGCTTTCCAGTATTCATCTGAGAGACTTTTCCAAAAGTATAAGAGCAGTGGTATGTACTCACCCAGTAAACTGGCTACTATAGAGACCAATCCAGTTCCAGCTCCAATTTCAATCACATTTTTGTCGACCAAATTATACTGTTTAGAATTGGTTTCCAAAAAATAACACAAAACAAGAGCCTGCAGGAGAGGGAATCCATGAATATACTGAATAAATAAATTAAATAAAAACCTTCACTCAATACACATTGTCATTTACAAGCATGCAAAAAAAAAAAAAATGTATAATTTCATGTCTGTTTAAATGAGCAATATCCATTCAAACACTGTCCTGAAAGGAACATGACTCACTATCTTTGAGCTCTACAGGCTGACAAAACAAATGCCACCACATGCTTCGATATGGGCTTGCAAAGCATTGCAGCCAGAAGGAATGACTGCAATTATCTAATCTGTCACACTGCATAACATGAGCTGTAAAATTCCAGTCAGCAATTCCCACACTTATTTCTGGTTGAGTTAAAACATGTCTGTCACAAAGACATCTTGATATGCGGATTGCATGTGAGAGAAAATCCACAACTCCTGCTAGTTTCTCGCTAGTTTCTTCTTTAAAATAATAATTAATGATCATAATGATTCAAAAAGGGTCAATAAATTCACCCCTTTACTTTTAGTTCAGTTTCTTTCTAGTTTTAATGTCCATACCTTGTTACATAGCCCTCTACAATTGACTCCTTATATATACATTTATAAACTATGACTTAAGAAACTTCTCCAGCTTTTCTGTCCTATCTCACACTGACCAGTGTTCTTTAGATCACTCTAGAAACACAAAAGGCTATTTTTACTCCTCTTACAAAGACAGTTTCCAGCCTGTCTCCTGTATTATTTCCCACACTTAGAAAATCATACAGTCTACACTGACAAATACATATATCGGTTGCTACATTATCTTGCAGTACAGATTACCATTTGGGAAAATAATTAGAAATTATTCAGTTTGGTTCTGCAAAATTTTATTCTTGGTTTTACTTCAATAGATTAAAATATAGAAGGAACGGAGGAGGACTGTTGACTTTGTAAGAGAGAAAGTCAATGTTCTTGCTTTCAACCTCTTAAATCAGAGCAAAAAGAACAAGGTCTTTCATATGAACACACAGATATCTCAATCAACAAAACTTAAAAATAGAAAGTTTGTGCACACTGTATTAATAAAAGCCAAGTTCTTTAAGACTGCGTGTGATATTGAACTGACTTTCTAAAACAAATCCTATCAGGTTTTCCTTTTAGCTCCATTCATTCCCATCATTTCTTCCCTTGGTGTCTTGACATGTTCTGCTGTTGAAACCAGCTGGCAGGCTCAAAACTTCTGTGACTTAAATTAGGGAACCTTTGAAACTCAGCTTCCTTTCCATGCAGAAGCTTAACTTCTCTTAAATTTTCAGCATTCATGACAAATGTGACTGATATTTTTCAGAAGATTTCAAGTATTGCAGGTTGGAACAGAAGGGAGAATATAGAGACACAGTGCAGGTTTCCTTCCTTTCACAGAAAAATTGACTAAATCTCCACAGAAAAAAAATGTGCATTTCATTGTAGCCCTTGATTTGTGAGAATAATTAACAGCCAGCCAACCTTGCCTTGAAGACATTCACTGAGGCTGCTAAGAGATACAGTGTAAACAACTTCTCCAGATCTGCTAAGGAAAAGTGTTTGGCATCCAAAGCAGTAGAGTACACTAACCCTCCTCAGCTGGATTATGGTCATGCTTCTTAAAAACAGCACAGGAAGCTGATACTGGGACAACAATGGAGCCTCTTGGCTTTTAATCCCCTTGATTCTATAAGAGGTCTTGGAAATCCGTCTATTTTAGAGAGATTCTTTGAGCAATGCAAGTGTCAGTGGTTCATTGTGGCACCTGTCCACCCCGTAGCAGTGTTTTTGCACTCTTAATTATTTCAAAACAGTCCATTAGCTGCATTGCACAAACTCAAAATACTGAAGAAAGTTCTTTGTACGGTGGATACATTGCTAGTTCTTATATTTTTGAGATCCTTCCCAATCTGAACCATCCTGTGATTCTGTAATATCAAGAGCCAAGAATGATGGTTCCTGAGAGCATGGATTCACTTCCACACACGTTTCTGTCTTTTTAAGAAACTGGAAGTCCTATGTGAATCTTCTCCCATGACTGCATATTTACATGCTAAATTTTTCTCTTGAGTAGTTTAAGTAGCATCTATGAGTGTCAGCCAGCACCTTATTGAGTTCTTTCTGAATCTGCTTTCTCCAGGGTCATTTATTTATAACACGTACAGTAACGTAATTTTCATATAAGACCCACATTTCCTTTAAAATTTGCTTCTAATTGGCCAATAGGACCATAAAGTTTCAACAGGAGAGGAGAAGGCATCACATCATACGTGCTGTGTGAAGGGGCACAAACAAGAAATACGACAGCTGCTCCAAAAGTAATGCCTTCTGTTTTATTATGTTGGCCTAGGACATCAGAGATGGATTTTGGTGGTATGGCAGTAGAGGTTGAACCTTTCGCCAATACTCTGTTACATTTTGTTGCTGTGTGATGATTGGCAGCAGAGGGACAGTTTGACAAAATGACTTCTGACATGGAAGTGCATATGAAGAAATGATGAGTTTAATTTCTCAATGAACAAAAAATTGCATCCCTTGATATTCACTGATGCTTCCTGAACATTTATAGAGACCAACCAGTGGATGGGAGCACAGTGAGGTGGTAGGAAGTGTGTTGCAATAGTGGCAATGACAACATGAAAGACAAGCTGAATTCCAGACAGCCATGCACAACCCCCACACCTCAAAATAGAGAGTCTCAATCAGCTCATCCACACGAATCAGCAGATAATAACCACAGAACTGTGTATGGAGCTGGATATCAGCTTCAGTGTGTTGAAAACAGTAGCAACACTGGAACATCACAAGGTTTATGGCAGGTGGTCCTCACAAATTCTCACACATGAACAGAAAGAGCACCATACGCAACTTTGTCAAGTTTGTATGAGGCTAAAGGTGACAGTATTCTGGATCACATCATTAGCAGTGACAAGATGTGGTGTCATCACTATAAGCCAAAGCAGCAGTCCACAGAGTGGTGACATATGAATTCTCCATCAAACAAAAAAGTTCAGGATGTAGCCCTCAGCAAATAAAGTGATATGCAGTCTTTTGGCATAAGTGGTGATCTTTCAGGATTTCCTGGAAACCTGAAAAACCATTAAATCTGACTGCTACATCATGACACTGACTGAGCTGAAGGTTCAAACTTCCAAATAAACAGCAGAGAAGATGACAGCCTTTTTCTTGCAACACAATAGCACCAGGTCCCATACCAGTTTGAAGACTGTGGAGCACACTGCCAATCTTGGATGGTCTGCTCTACCACATAGTGCTGGATTTAGTGCCTTCTGAATTCCATGTTTTTGTGCTGATGAAAGATGGACTGCACAGGCAATGTTTTCCTCACACTGACATTGTCATGGCAGTTGTGAAACAATGGGTCACCTCTGCTGCTGGAGATTTTTCTGAGCTCATCATACAGGCTCTTGTTCATCATTGGCAAAAATGCATAGCTAACTGTGGTGACTATATTGAAAAAGTCTTTTTAACTGAGAATGTGCTCTATTAAACAGTGCCACTGTACTCTTTGTATCTGTTGTGGATTGCATAGAAATAAATAAGAGGCAATATCTTTGGAGTGACCTGCATATCATTTAAGCTTTGAGAACCAGGAAGCCATAGGAAAACTAGGCTAAATTCAGGTTTGGGAACTGTAGAATGGAGAAAGCATAGAATATTATCTTTAGCTTCACAACACACAATAAAAAATATTTATCACTAAAAAACCAACTAAATGTGTTAAAAGACTCCAAAACTGAAAGTAACAATATTATGTAAATATTGTACCGATGGCCAGACAACTGCCCCATAACAATCAGTGGCTTCTGTAATCCTTATCTCATGGCCAGCAAAGTGAAAGCCTTCCCAAGCCTTATAAGTTATAACATCAGGAAAAAAACGTCTTCTCATGATTTCAGTAACTATTTGTTCTTCTTCTTTTTCCCCTGGAAGTAAGAATATAAAAAGTTAAATAAGCTGAGAGGGCAGACAATGAAATCACCAATTTATGTTGAAATGCAGATTTGAAGCAGGAATTGGAATGATGTTTGTGACCTAAAATGCATTTTACCATTAATGGTAAAATAAATAAAATATATAATGGCATGATATATAGAAAGTCTCCTGAATTCTAATAGAAGTTTTCACTTTATGACTATATAAAGTAATTCTTTCCACTTTACTGGAAAAATGAAGTTCAAAAAAAGGGGAATGTTACCATATATTTTCATTTCATCAAACCAACAGAAAATTATTTTTCACTTCAAGAACGGCTGCTCTCATATTTACTCTCATGGTCTTTTGCGCCTCGACTTTTTATTGTTTTCCATGTTCTTTTAATGTTCACTTTCCCCATGTAAATAAAAGGAATCACAATATCATATATAAGTCTGTCACAAAACTTGTGAAACAGATCCTAGCAACGCAAATTATGACAGACAGGAGAGAAAGCACTACTGTTGTCAAGAAAGCTTATCCACCCACACCAACAGAGCCTTGTAAAAGGGATTCTTTCCAGCTGGCTTGACATCCTGAATGCCATCCTTGCTGCTATGTGAAGGATATTTATGATAGCTAACATAATCCAGGTCAACCCTTCTACAAGAAAGGATTCATTCGTTTAGCTGAATACCAAGCAAGTGTCACTTTTGCAATCATCACACAAAGCCGCACCACAGTGTTGCAGATAACATGTAAATGAAGCTTTCCAGAGCATTTTCTTTGCAAAATCAAGAATCATTCCGAGTTTGCATGGTAAATTTGCTTTCACAGCCAGACACAATCTCTTGGCAAATTAGCTAAAGCAAAACATGTTTACAAGCTATACCTCCTAAAAAGCATGTTAAAGTTGTGGTAACTGGGTTACCATCTTTTCCAAAGCAGAATTCCTCTATCAGGCCTGCAGTTGCCATCCAAATCACAGGCAGAAACATCAAATGGCACAGAATGACACACAACTAGATGACACAGCACAGAAACTGCAGTGGTCATTAGAAATGAATACACTTGACTACCATCCTTCAGTAAATCTATATGAAGAGAACAGCAGCTGTTGGCATTATAGAAGAGTCTACATTTTCTTCCCCTCCAAGCCACTGCTCTTCTGTATGCATTGGTATTTTTATTGCCATAACCTATCAAGACAGGCAACTCTCTCTCCTTTCCTGGAACTACAAACAAACAAACAAAATAATAATAATAATTAAGGATGGTATCTCACAAATCGATTGGAAAAAAAATAAAATACTAGTCGTGAGCCAGCAGTGTGCCTGTGCAGCTCAGAAAGCAAATGGACAAGGGGAAATGGTTTTAAGTTGAGGGAGGGCAGATTCAGGCTGGATGTCAGGGGGAAGTTCTTTACAGAGAGAGTGGTGAGGTGCTGGAACAGGCTGCCCAGAGAGGTTGTGGATGCCCCATCCCTGGAGGTGTTCAAGGCCAATTTGGATGGGATCCTGGGCAACTTGGTCTAGAATTAGATATGGAGGTTGGCAGCCCTGTCTGAGGCAGGGGGGTTGGAGCTTCATGATCCTTGAGGTCCTTTCCAATCCAAGTCATTCTATGATTCTATGATTATATGACACAACTAAATTAAAAATAAAATAATATATATACACCACTAGAAAGAAAGTTAAATAGTATAATTTATTAAAGGTAACATAAATAGAATAATCTTAACGTTAAAATGATGATATTTTAAAATATCAGATGCTAAGTGATAGCATACAGTCAGCACATAACACTAGAGGCTTGCAGGAGTTGTAACGTTGAGAGAAGGCACATATGTCACTGAGCCCATGAGCAGGAAACTCTAAACAAACAGAAGTTACACATGATAGAAATGCTGCTTTGAGGCCATAGTAATTTTTTCCTATGAAAAAATAATATGAGGATTTCTTATCACAGATATTGTAAAGTGTATTTAATTTATCATCCTGTGTCTAAGAGTACTAGATCTAGACTGCTTTTAATCTTCTCAGACCGCTTACAGCAGTATGATCTCATTCTGTGATTAGCACTAGCTGTCAAAATAAAAAGCTATTCCTTCTATTACTTCTCAATTACAGCCATTTTTCTCTTCTTCTTCTTCTTTTGATAACTGCTTTGGATCCAATTTTGATGAAAAGCCCTAACTTATAAAATCTTAACTTACAAAGCTTCAGCCAAAAGATCTATAAAACTCCAGAAGTATTACAGCTACCCCTCTCGTGTTCAATAAACATTTCCCACTTACTTTTTTATGCTGTCAGTAATCTTTCTACTCAAGGCTTGTGTTGTACCTGCACTATTAAAATTTGTAGGCCACTACTCCCTGCCTAGGATGAATTATCCATACTCCTGAAAGAGGAGATCTAAATCTACTAGTTAATAACACTTAAATCACTGGCCCCCTTACTCCTTCAGTAATCCCATAGGTGGGATACATGAAGAAGCTGACATAACACAATCTTCTCTTTGTTTCACTATAAGTCTATGAAAGACAGGTTCAAAACTCACCTTAGTGAGAAATTCAATCAGGACCAAGAAACTAATGACAAAGTAAAGACCACAAACCTTTAGCCAGACATGCTTACTTCCACATAAATCTTTCCTTATAATCCAAAAAGCACTCTTCTATTTTCTACTTTATATTGTTCAGAATAACTAAACTAATATAACTCCGTGTGTGACTGAGATACACACAAAAACAAAAATAAAGCAAAAAAATTTTTTTTCTGCTACAGTCTTCAGAGCAATCAGAACAGAAAAATAACAAACAAGTAGAAAATCTATAATGCAAGAAGAATATTGTTATCTGTGTAAGCAAAGCCCAAGTGAAATAAAGTCTTCAAATACCTGCTAAAGTATTAAAGTTCTGCTAGTTATGCTTTGATCAAAATCTAGTTTCTTGCTACCAGATGTAAAAAGCTGATAGGAAGTTATTCTCCTATAAGTGTTCAACTCTGTGTTAGTCCTTATTCAAGTTGCAATGTTGAGTTACAACTCAGTGAAAGAATTTCAGTGATATTTAAAGATAGAAAGACCCATCACTAATAAAGGGTCAGACAAGGGAAGAGGAAGCTTCACTGACCCGAATCAGTTCTTGCAAGAATGGAATTTCATATTGGGTATTTCCAGCAATATTACTCAAGCACACACAACAAACCATCAGAACATAAAGGTCTGCTAGAACTGGTTCCTCCCTTCTTCATTCACCTGAGTTTAATGAAGTGGGCTATCACTTTCTCTTCCTTCATGTTTTGGAGAGACACAGAAGTATATCTACATACATAGACATTATATACATAGAAATGTATGTACAGTTTATTCATCTCTTTGCATTTGCATGCAAACACAGAAACTACTAGAATTTCATGTGCTAAAACATATTTACATCAAGAAGGGATAGTTTGACCCTGTCCACTTAGCATACAGAGACTGAGATAATTTTTGTTAATAAAACAGCACTCCTCTGGCCTTGAATTGTTGATTTTGATCACAAACAAATTTCTGTCTATAGATGTCATAAATCCTTCCTGAAATAGAATTTGAATTTACGTAACTTTCATCAGATTTTCTGTCTAACAGGTTAATGACTTGGAGAGTCCTTTGAAATAAAAACTCTTCTCCAGAGGGCTGCTGGAACATGTTCCCCACAGCAGTGGTCAGAGCACTGAGCTGCGTTTGGACAATGCTCTCAAACAGAGGGTTTGAATTTTGGGGAGGTCCTGTGTGGAGACTTGGGTTGGATTCAATCAGTGATCCTTGTGGGTCTCTTCCATATTCTGTTTCTGTGATGCCAGGTAAAGTTTCATTTATCATAAAAACCTAATGTTGTTGGAGCATACTCTTTGAATTCCTTTGATTTTCAGTTAATACAAGGGCAGAAGGACAGTCTTGTATGTTGATACAATTTTGCACTAAACCAAAGACATAATTAATAAAGCAATGAAAACATGAAAACATCACTCTCACCGGCAAAGCAATTACGACTATTATTTTAAAAAAAAGGAAAAAAAAAAAAAAAAAAAAAGCCACCAAGAACATAGTTTTCCAAAGAGAGATAATAAATGATGTGGAAGACTGGTGTCCTGAAGTTAGTGGCAAGTTGATTACGGAAATGTATGACAAGCTGCAGAATCTCATTTAGAGAACTAGAGGTTTTTGCTGATGCATTTAAACATCAAGCAGAATGTTTTATATGAGAACAAAACCTTAAGAAAGAAAAGGACCTGAGTGCTACTGAGACAGAGCTAGAGAGGTGAGGAGGGGAAGGCAGAGCAAGATAATACGTAGAATACGTTGGGATAAAACAAGCTACAAATTACAACATCTTTAACAATAAGGGAAACAACAAAAATGGGCCTTAGGCTAACATTATCTGCATGCTGGTGGCTTTTTTTTTGCTAGGAAAGAAATAGAATAGTATGTTTTGAAACATTCTACATAATTGTTTATTCTGTTTGCACCAGGAGTTACATAAAAATTGTACTTGGGTAGTACACAGCTCCACCAGGAAACAGTAATCTTAAAATTCACTTGGGTACTGTGCATCAATAATTAGCATGCCAAATACCTGAACACACACCTATTGATACTTCCTATGTTAATGCATTTTTCACCAAACTGATAAAGAATAAGCACTGCTAAACAGCACTTAAAATGCAAGAAAAGTGACAAAGACAAGGATTGTGAATTAAAATTAAAATATACTGATAATTTATCCTGATAACAGAATTATGATGTGACTAAGATAAAGGAAGAAAACAACCCCTGTACATGGAATCTATGAAGAATATACCTGTAGTCAATATCTACATTTTCTGACTCGCCCACAGTCAGCAGATTGAGTAACAAAACATCCTTCAAGTATTTTGTTAATGCATTTGCGGTTGAACTTGGTGATCTTTAAGGTCTTCTCCAATCTGAGCAATTCTATGACTCTATGATTAATACATAAAAATGTAGT